TGTCTATATGTTTAAAAAAACAAAAACAAAAAAAAAACCTCCACTAACTGCTAAAACCTAATGAAAATAGGCCCAATTGTTTATATTGCGAAACTAAAAATGCTGATTACTTCCTACAATTTAACGGACCCACTAATAATCTGAGTCAAGGCGTACATAGAAGAGGAAATTTGCTGCTTCACCAGGAGAGGACCTAATATTTCAGCTGATATCTGTTGATCCTGTAAAACACTCACCTCTGAATAGCCATATACCCACGGCATTCCAGTATGAGCACCCTGATTAAAACCCTTTCACTGACAGAAAACACAGGACCGCTTTGTGGGTGTCTATTCAATCACGCTCTTGATCTGTTGAATGGTATTGTGTTTGATGTTTGTTAATGCGCCTCTTTCATGCTCCTGTGGAAGGGGCTCTCCTGATGTAAATTATGTGCATATTTTTACTAAAGGTGACATTTCTTTGGGCTCCCTGTAAAATAAATCAGAGACGCCTGCAATGTATCTGCAATGGGGGAGAAGGGAAGAGGGACCTCTTTGTTCCGAGCCAATGTTATCCCCTAATGGAGTCTGGCTGCAATGCTTCAGATGCATTTTTAAGTGTACCATTAATTCATTAGGGAACTGCAGTCCTCTCATTCCAAATAAAACAAGAGGAGAGGAGACGAAATGCGGCGAGACGGCTCATGTTGGGGAGGAGCGCCATCAATCTCAAAGGCTCCACGTCAAGGACAAACGGGGAAGAAGTTGAAGTACAGTATGTGTGTGACTGTGAGGGCACACCTGTGTGTGCAGTTCTCGCTGCTGACGAAGGAAGAGAGGCGGCTAATTTTAGCTCAGGTGAAAGAAAAGGGTAGGAGAGCGGAGGATGGTTTGGATGAGATGAAGCTGGAATCTATGGCTGAAAACAAAAAACAAAGGCAGGAGAACAGTCTGTCATCCTGGGCCTAGAGAAGCACGCTCCATCGATTAAAACCACAGGGGCTTTAGTTTATTGATCAAACAGAAAAGAGACTGGAAAATGGAGAGAAAAGTGAGGGGATGTTGAAGTAGCAGGAGAAAGACAAACAACAAATAAAGACAGCAATATTTCAATTAATTATCAACTAATTATTTCATTTTTTGGTCTATTCAGAGAAGGGCTTGCTGAATCCCTTAGATTACTGTCTCACTGTGCCTTAGCTTAAAATCAGGGATGACTGAACATTATTAACAGTACCTTTAATTCAGTAGTATGTTATTTTTAATTGTTGGTCATTTTTGCACCAGATTTGATGAAGGCAAGGTTTCAAAAATCCTCTGTTTATGTCCCATCAGGCTACAGAACATTTCCTGAACTTTTTCATGAATCATTGACACATTTGTTTTGATTGCAGATGTGACAGGGGACTCTGTGTTCTTTCTTGTCCTCAGTGTTTTTGGTTGAGTCTCAAAGCCTCATAGATTTTAACCATTTGCAGACTCGTAGATGATGCTGGGTTTGTTTTTTTAATCTCTTACTGATTTTCATCAGATTAGAGCATGAGGTATTGCTTTTTCAGACATTTTAGCTTTTTTGATGTTGTAGAAAAGGGGGGTTGGTGAAGTGTCGACTGCAGGGCCGCTGACTGGACCGGATCCAGCAGAGAGCCATGAGCCGCCTGTCCTCAGCTGGAGGAGGGGGGCTGGGGGCCAGTAAGGCAGGCGGGGGGAAGCATGGGGCCGTCTACTGTCACTGGGTCGGGTTCGGTCGCTCTGTCCCCCACTGGCTCCCTGCCCCCGTCCATGTAGTAGTCGACCAAAATCCCGGACGATTTTGAAATTCTCCCTGGACAATATTTTAGGTATGAAAAGAAGGACATGTCAAGGAAAAGGCGGACGTCTGGTCACCCTACCATATCAACAATTTGATGTTCCAGTGAGTGAGTGCTTGTGGCTATGATGCGTCTTTGCACAGCAGCTTTGCTCGTTGTAAACCAACCAATCTGCGCACAGCTCATCTAAATATTCATGATCATACCATAAAAGGAAGAAAACCTGTCATTTCATTCTAAGGGCTTTTAACCAGGCTAGAATTAGGGCTCACAGAACAGCAAATATGCCATTTTCAGCCCAACATCCTATTCAGAGACCTTAAAGACCAACACCAAATACCCTATAGAATCATTCTGACCCCTTTAAGCAAATTTGTAAATCTATGGATCAGCAGCAGTTGGATAATGAAATTTAATGCAGCTTTTTTATAATTTATCATTGTTAATTCAGGAATTAGCAAGAGGTTAATGTTCTTTTTCGCAATGGGCCAAATTTTTTTTCAATTCTTTATATTCTCTCGGAAATGTTTGACAATGACTTGTTGAAAATTCCTCAATTTATCTTCATTGACATGTGACAAATTAAGTTACATAAAAATAAAAGTTTTTAATTGATATTCGGCTTCTAAGAGAAGCTATAGTAAACATTAACGTGAATCTGGACTGAATTTACCGGGTAGAACAGCACCTGCATAGAATTATATAATTTTTTTGTTTCCACGATCTTAAAACAAAAAAGGCATTTTAGAAACTATGAATAAGTCAATAATAGGCAACAACTTTCATTTAAATTATCTAATTTATTCATATTAATTCATATTTTAATCATTCATGATTCATTACTTTAAAAAGCCATTATTCAATGCATTTCTGCCTTTTTATTATATTTTATTGATCATTTGCACGGGAGAACAACTGAACAGCAAAGAAATGGTTTCATCAACAAAGGCAGTTTTAACTACTGTGTCTAGATAAAGTCTTTCACTGCAGCTGGGGATTATTTACAGCTGCAGGAACAGAGCTGTGTCAGAGTTATATTATATATATATATATTTTTTTTATTATTATTATTATGTGTTTTTATGTATTTTTTTTTGTCCAAGCCTGCCTTTACTTGAACAACATTTTAAAAAATCATCTGTATTATATTTTGTTTGTTGAAAGAAATCAATTAGAAAAATTAAACCTTGTGTTTCGGTACTCTTCTAACGCTTATTTCAAAGTTAAATCTGAAAAGTATAAACTATGAAAAGAGAAACTTCTGAAATTATAAGAACTTTTAGATTTCTTGAAGCAGTGACACATTTCTTTTTTTTTTAGCTCATCAAAGTGGGAAAAAAGCCTCTTAATTTATTTAACAGATTTTTCTCAAAAATCCAAACTAGTTCCTTTTCTTGTGTTCTATGAGCTTTTTTATGTGTTCATTTAAAGCAGTTGTTCATTTTTGCAAGAATTTTCAAATATTTTCATTTCCCATCATACTCAGACTTGTCTTTGTGTGGGTGTTAATATGTGTGCCTGTTGGACATAACGTGAGTATGCTTTCCTGTTTGACATGGAGCAGAGCTCGCTAAGCAGATCAAACAACTTGGAGCCCAATACTTCAGTCTGACTCAAGGCCTCATTGAATCCAAGAGTTTGAGGGAACAAACAGATGATCATCGTTCCTGGCAGTGTTGCCTGTTTATTCAGATTTGCGTCAGAGTAATGTTGCAAACAGCTGAACCATATCAGGCAGCCCGCATTTCCATTACCACAGCCAGAAAAGCCATCGGCCAAGATTTAAAAGAGAAATACTTTGATCAGCTGAAAGCCCAGAAAGGTTAACGGCTGGTCAAAACTGATCTTAGCAGAAGATTGCATTTATTAAGACTCTCCTTTTTAGTTCTGACCAGAGGGTTACCGTTTCTATGCTACAGAAATGATCAGAAGCTATGGATTCTCCTCTAAATTAAACTGCACTTGTTTCCAGTGCTGTCACTCGATTTTAAAGAGGAGGTCTCTTTTTTTACAGCTCAAGAAACGCTCAGAGATTTCCCATTTATTTTGAACTCCTTTAGTGATGTCATTTAGAATCCAGCAATGCAATTACAGATGCTCTGCACATCAATTGTTGGTTCCTGCGGTGCAGGCATGACAGAAATCCACTTATTTCATATTATATTGATGCCAATTTGGAGTTTTTATTACAGCTGAAGGTAGCAGAGCAGCATAATGACATCCAAGGGAGTTTCTTATTATGAGACCTTAAAGCAAGTGTTGAACCACAGAAGATAAATGGAGGCACAGATACTCCGCACATTAGGATTGAGCTACACGGTGAACACAAGGACTCACAAACATAGCAACAGATTGTGTCTGATGAGACTGCACAAAAGTAAAGGACAAAGTAGCAGGTTTGACTGTGCAGTGCAGTTCAGCTTTACCTGAATTTTTGTCCAAATTAGGTAGGCCTTTTTATTTCCCAACTGATGATATATTTTGCCCTGATACATTAGATATATTAGTATATATAAACATTATAGATATAAACACTGAGAAATAACAATAACAGTTTATTGTTGGCTTAATGAAAATGATTAGTTGGTTAATTTCTTTCCTCTTTACTTTTGTTTGTTGGTTAGAAAGGAGCCTGTTTCTTTTTTTTTATTTACCTGGTTTCTTGTAGGATTGCTTTTAGAAAGTTAAAATCTAATAATCTGAGAAGCGCCTCAATTAATTTTCATGGTCATGTGAACATCAAATAAACTTTTATTTGGGAGGACTACTCCAGAAATATTTATTTTATCTGTTTTTACACAATAAGCTGATGATGTTGTGTAATGCTGGTCCGAGCTAGATAATATCTATCTGCTGTTTGCTGTATAAGCTTTGTGAATCTAAAAGAAATTGAAATTTAACAAGTTTTAGTTCGCATTTTTCCATGATCTACTGTCTAAGCAGGTCTGCACTACAGTAGTGAACCTTTCAAATGCCAAATGATGAACTGTTATCTGTTACTGAAAATGTTTAAGTTGCAAAGTACACAAATGTTTTATGGCTGATGTAAAAAAAACAACTGTAAAACTGTTAAGGCATTTCACTAGCTTGTTGGAATTTGCTGTCCTATTAACTCTAGTTCTCTCCCAACATTGTCCACTTCCTTCACTTTCGCTTTTTTCTTCCTCATTCTTTTCCCCTCCTAATGCATCCATCTTTGATGTTTCAGGTACAACACCGCCTAAGCCTGCAGAGGCAGAATGCCGGAGCAGAGCAACGACTACCGTGTGGTGGTGTTCGGGGCAGGAGGAGTGGGGAAGAGTTCCCTGGTCCTGCGCTTTGTTAAGGGTACTTTCAGGGACACCTACATCCCCACGGTGGAGGACACCTACCGGCAAGTGATCAGCTGCGATAAAAGTGTGTGCACTCTGCAGATCACAGACACCACAGGTAGCCACCAGTTCCCAGCCATGCAGCGCCTCTCCATCTCCAAGGGCCATGCCTTCATCCTGGTCTACTCCATCACAAGCAAACAGTCTCTGGAGGAGCTAAAACCCATTTATCAACAGGTATGTGTCTACGTATAACTGCCCTGTGCTCTAAGTCTATTTCTTTGTCTAACAACAAAGAGAGACTTTAAAACTGAAGTTACGATTAGATCAATGCCGTTGTTTTCAGTTAACAATGTTTCCTATTTAAAATTATATAGATCCGTTAATTCTCTGAAATTTAACTGGTTTAGTATACAGCGCTTTTTATAAAATTATATATTCTATAGAAACGTTCTTATATGACTTTTTAGAACACAAGCAATGCACCATACTTTTTTTTTTTTTATCAGCACATTATTATGTGGTTCAAGGAGTTTCCAATGATGCTTTCTATGACATGTGTTTTACATTTGGGCTTGATCGCCTTCAAGCTGCTGGTGTTAGATTGCTCCACGAAGAATTCTGTTGACACAGATATAGCAGAGCAAATTAATGTTTTCTTTAAACCAAGCCCTTATAGAAAAAAAAAAAAAAACATTGATCTGTGCATCAACTGTAGGAATATTGAGCTGGATGTAGAAAAAATCCCTTAGAACAATAAACAAAACATGATTTCCTATGTCTGACTTAGCTACCTCTAAACAAACAGCACAGTCAGATATTCATATGTTGCCATTTTTGTCCTTTGGGGCTTCAAGCCCAGGAGGCCATAAGATCAAATGTGTTATCAGACACCGAACATTTTCCCTTATTTTGCAAGTACAGATCTGAAAATGAAACATGCTTTTTTACTTAGACCTTCCTATACTTTGATACAAAAATTTTTAATCCAGTGCATCCAATAGCCTTCGGATGTCAGCTTGTTAACAGTTAAAGACTCTTCTTTTTTATTTAATAACATTTCCAATCGAGCTGTTCTGTGAAGGCCTCATAGGTTTGGAACATTAGTAATAAAACAGCTGCAATGAACAACAAAAGTACAGTTAGGTTGTGAAATATAATCCTAAGCTTTGGACATCTTGCCAAGCTATTTTAAATCTGACGCTCTATTTAAACATTTAGAGGCAATAAGAGAAATCAAATAAAACAGCAAACATCAATAGCTCATTTTGATATTGACAGCTCAGCTATTAGTGGTGCTCCTCACAAATCTGATAATGATCCATTTAGTGGAATGCTGTCTGCAGCCGGAAGACGGTGTTCCATTTTCAGGTTTAAAATGGAACAATTTTTGTTCATTTACTACCATGCATGGCAGAAAATAGCCAAACCTCATCCTAGTGAGCAAAAATGGTAGCAACATAATTATGTTGTTCAAATTTACTTCTCAAGAGTGGCTATAGTGCAATAAATGAGCAATCTTGGAAGAAAATCTGTTAAAGGCTGTCAATATTTTTGTACAGCTTTTAGTGATGTATTCAAAGCTTTGAGACAATTTCAGAGACTAACATACCTGAAGAAACAGCCGGTGCTTCAAAAGTGGTGTAGGTTGTAATCGTCAAGTCTCACTCCAGACTTTGAAAACTTAGAATAACGTACAAGAGATATCTTCATAATTGATCACTCTTCAGTCTGATAGAGCTAAAACTGTTTACAAAGAATAACGGTTAAAGATTTAACTATTTAATTATGCAAAGCTCGTAGATACATGTTTCAAAGAACTTGCAGCTGTAATCCACTCAGAGGAATCCAAACATGAAAAAAAGTTTGGATTTTTAATGTATTAAAACAGATATTAGTAAACACTTTTTTGCATTTACACTTGTGGTCCACTAAGACTAGGTCTATTCCATGGAATCTCAATAAAATACATTTACATTTGTGGTTGCTTTGTGACAAAATACAATAAGTTAAACACCTTTGTGAGTGTTGAAATGAGATTCCATAGTGTTTTTTTTTTACATTTCTTCTGCAGATCCTGGCCATAAAAGGCAACGTAGAGGCCATCCCCATTATGCTTGTGGGAAACAAGAGTGATGAAACCCATCGCGAGGTGGAAACCAAGGATGGGGAGGACCAGGCCAACCGCTGGAAGTGCGCCTTCATGGAGACATCCGCCAAGACCAACCACAATGTCACAGAGCTCTTCCAGGAGCTCCTCAATCTGGACAAGAAGAGGAACATGAGCCTCAACATCGACGGCAAGCGCTCTGGGAAGCAGTCCCGTGCAGAGAGACTGAAGGGCAAATGCAGCGTGATGTAGAGCCAGAAGGAGGGGAAAGGGGAGGACAAGCGAGGAGAGGAGAAGGGAGGGAGGGAGGATCTAGATCAAGATCAAGAGAGATAAAGAAAAAGGACAAGATGAAGAAACCACTCCATGTGTATCCAATTAAAGCAATGCTGCTGCAACGGCAAAGGGAATCTTAATATACACATCCTCTGTTTGTTTCAGTTGGGCGTTCAAAAAAACAGGAAGAAGCAGATATTCAGAAGCGTTTGACTGAGTGGGAGGAAGTGAGATGTTGGCTTGATATCAAGGAAATGTTGAGAAAACAAATAAGGTAGAAACACAGAAACAGCGGCGATTTGCAACACCTAAGTGCAGCAAAATCTCAGAATGATCACAGAATGGCGCCTTAATCAAGAGAGAACCAACGTCCCTGAATAGCAGAAATAATTTATTATCTTACAATAAATCTCTTAATCTATGCTTCTCTGCTCATAACTAATCTCCTCGTCAGCCTCCCAAACTCCCATCCTCTGCATCTCCACTATTCCAAAAACTTTAGGAATATTTTTATTTGATTTAAGATCAGCCATTTGGTGAAACCTAATCAGTCCATTATACCTCTAAATTTGTGTATCACATATCTGAGGCTGCCAGCATGAGCAGAACTCAGCAGAACATACAACCCTGGCACTTCCCAGAATCCCACTACTGGGCTCTGATGTATATAACCATGGGGATGTGTAAATATCTTCCATCTAGCAGCAACATGTTCAGCCTCAACAAGTCGTCCAATCACAGGAGAGGAGCTAATCACGTCTGCAGCATTAAAGATTTCATCTCATTGGTTCTGGTCAGAGATGGAAAAAATATGATGTTGATAACTGGTCTTTTTAAAAACTCATCAAAAAAAACTTCCATAATCATCTTCTGCAATGAGAAGGTTTCTATCTGTACACTGACACACGCAACAATCCTTTTAAAACTTTCATAAAGTGTAGAATAACCGAAGAGGAGGAAGGTGAACTCCTATAAACAGAGAGAAGAATCAAGGCCGCCTTGTTTACCAGGATGGTACCCTTGGATAATCATTGCCAAGCTGGAAAGAGGGATAAAAAATGTTTCCCTGTCAAAAAAAAAAAAAAACTGGATAATATCAGCTCGCTTTGGCACTTTTCATGTGAAAGTTTCTCTTTTTGCCTTTTTTTCTAGTCTGTTTGCTTTATAACGATTTTAAAAACCATGCCAAGTGGGGCGGAAATCCTTAAATTTAAAGCACATCGAAGAAGGAATGGATAGGATGATATAGGTAAATGATTATTCATTAAACTGTCTTTCCTTTGCTGGTTTGATTATAAATGCAGAGCAGACTTAAACTTCTGTTAAAGATGATTTTAAAAGCCTTGAAATCAAACCAGGAGGGAGGTCTGGTGACTAATTTAGTCTCTGTTTAACCACTCCTGTTTTTTTTTTTCATTATCTGGCTGGAAATGGTGCAGAAATTTTCCAGAATCGTTTTCAAAATGCTCTCTTTCCCTTTACATGTTTTAATAAATTCACTTAAACTAAAGTTTTTTGTTTTTTTTTAGCACAAGAGGATACTACTGCAATAAAAGCTTGATTTAGGTTTCATGGAAGGAAACTGGTTTCTCACATCGTATTTTTACACCAGGAAGACCTCAAATACAATGGTGTTGTACTTGTATGTAAATACAGGCAATGGAGAGGGGGTTCAGGATGTCAGTAGTATAGTCCTACCTATTCATGCCGAATAATCTCTAAAAGACTTGTAGAGAAGATTTGAAAATGTATTTACCTAGAATTGCTTCTGCAAGAGGAGATGAATTAATTTCAAGGCTTTTAATCCATCTTTACAAGGAATCTGTCTGCCGCTGCGCCTTCATCCATTTATCCATGAACAGGTAGCAGAGGACGGGATACACACGTATGCAGGAATCATGCATGCAGTTGTCAACAAGGAGTAAACACGTATATGGCTCTGAAAGTTACTGTTTACTAATTATATTTAGACACATGGGGCTCACTCAGCTTAAATGCCCTCATATTGCACTTTATATCACAATATCACACATACATTTAATTTGTTATATAGTTCCACTTTAAAGCTCTACCCTAAGTCCAAAGTGAATTCATATAAGGCTGATATACATCTTTACGTGCAGGAGATCTAAATGTTGTACACAGGACAGCCAAAAGCACAATACCTTTTACTAATATATCTTTCTGTACATTTAGTTTTTTGTTTGAATATCTTTCTGTCTTCTTTGTGTAATGTCATCAAAGGTCACTCTCAGTCTCATTGTTTTAATTGTTCAGTACATTAGTACAATGAAGTTGTGGTTCTGCTGAGCAACAGGGTATCGGTTGGCTGTGTTTGTGGAGCGTAATCTGAGCTGGATGATCCAGATTTTCTCCATTTTCTCAGGATAGACTTTTGACAACAACTAGCGAGGAGGGTAATCTGCTTATGTACTTTTTCAACCCAAAGACACAGATGATAAACCCATTTTAACTGAGCTCCCTCCTCCTAGGGGTGGAACAGACAAGCAAAAAAAGAAAAGAAAGGAAGAGCGCAGCAACCGTTCCTCGTTCATCTCCACCTCTGTTTTATCTGCAGCAGGATCAACAACTGAGCACTTTAGGAGGGCATTTTACTTGAAGATTTGCTTAAAATTAATCAACTCACTTATAAACACTGGATGAAATGACCCGTCTGCATCCCCAAACATGCTCCATATGCATTGTTATTGTAAATTGCCATCATTCTAGGGGGTCTGAAAAGCGCTTCAAGTAAGATGTCGCCCTTGTCAACCAATGCTAATACCCTATTTTTCTGGAAGGAGAATCTTTGTAAGCAGGAAGTGCTGGTACTGTAGTTGCAATGTACTGTAATTTTCCGTTTATTGATATTATTCATATCACCATGCTATCAATGCATCAAATTCATCAGATAGATCCAAATGTGAATATGTAACTAAAAGCTACACTTCATGGCTGTTACTACTTATCTTTTCTTTTTTTCTGAATGTATTTGTTGTTATAGCTGTGTCGTATTTTTGCACTAATGTGAGGTCCTCTGAAACTCCAAAATTACCTTGTTAAAGTACCCTTTACATGTTAGAGGCCAGGGATGCTTTACTGTTTTTTAAAAGTAATTCACATATATATTAAGTTTTCAATGTCATGATTTTGACTAGTTGTAAAAATGCCATATAGATGGGTGGCAGCCGACCGGGCATGTGGTTAGAAAATAATAAACAAAAGACCTCTGATGCTTTTCAGGCCCAACTCTGGGGGCTGATCTAATCTAATAGAGGCACACACTGCATAAAAATCAGCTTGATACGCCTGGTCCCTTTACGCAAATGCCATGTTTGCGTGCGCATGTTTGTGCAATCTGCTGTTCTGCTGACGTTAACGAGAGACAGGCATTGTACACCTCCCTGCATGGAATATGATACAGCACAGAGAGGGATGGGTGGGGGCAATGAGGCAGCATGTAAGAGCCGGATGGATGGCAAAACAGGGGAGCGAGGGAGGCAGCCGGGCTATTGATATATTTATAGACACGGTGTGAAAATCTGAAATTTAACTACACTCGCCAGGTTCTGTGTAAGGTTCAGCTGAGCTCCCCCGTGCGAGAAAAATAGTGTTCACGTGGGGCATCTAAGTTTGTGGACTGAGCAGGTTAGATACTTGAGAGAATCAGCCCCCGTTCAATCATGGCTTGTCTCATCCCATTTATCAGTGATGTTTCTGTGTAAAAGTGAGAGCATCCATGTATGTGCACCAAACTACCTTTTGCATTTGTACACTTTGGACTGCATGAGTGGATCATGTGCACACCTGAGCGATGCATTGTTCTAGCTAATGATGTGTCATACATCCCTGGCTTACTGCTGGAGAATGCTTACAGGTTCTGCATGGGACATCTGGTGCAGTCCAACATTTCTCACAGAGACACATAACAACCATATGGAGGTGTAGTTCTGCTTTAAAATATTGTCCTCCTTGAATAAGAAGAACCCTCTCAGCAAATAAATGCAAATAAATCTTTTAATAAAGGATTTTTATATTTCATATCAGTGTTTCGACACCCAAAATGCTTTAACTGGACACACTTTTGATAATAAGAAAATTTACAATTAAATTAAAACATGTTTTAAAATATAAAAATGATTTGAATTACAGGAAAATCCATCAGTTAGTGATATATCATATAAAAATGGATCCTGATTTAAATTATTGGAATGAATTAAATTTCTTAAGATGCTCAAAACTATGTAAAAAATAAAGTAAGTTCAATTCATTGCTAAGGTGTGAGAGAGAGAAAAAAGATCCATTTGAGCTGTATTGGCTTGGAAAATAGTGTGTAACACACAATAATTATTAGGTTTTCTATATGACAAAAGATAAAGTTCAAGGGAGAAAGGGAAACCCAGGGTAAAGCATGGTGGAGGTGCAATCATGTTATGGTACTAGTAAGTAATTGAATGTATTGAGAAAATTAGATCAAATCTATTTATTGTAGTATCCCGTATGTATTTTTCAAATAAAAAAACAGGAAATTGGTACAGAAATTTGGTTTGAAATAAGTGCAGCAGTGGTTGTTCTGCCTTTGCTATAACCTACTTGTTTACTTTAGGCTCAGACTAATTCGCAGTCTGTGAGGATTACTGTATTTCATAATTTTCTTATTCATTTGTCTGCTGTCTTTTTATAACAGATCTTGGATAAATGTGGAGGATAATTTTAATGGAAGTCTAACCATTCTCTTGCAAAACGCATTTTAACTGGGTTAATATGGTTTTGATATTCCATGCCTCTATTTTAACATTTAAAGCCTTACATTGACAATAAATGTGTAACAGTCATAATATTTCTTAGAGATAAGCCCTAAAACAAAACTGAGATCAAAGTGCTTCTATTTTTATGGCTATAATAGCCATGGGATGTAGGGGAAAGTTGTCAGCCTCTGGCAAGAATTTTTATAACTGAAAAGAAAACTATGGAGATATTCAAAGTATACAGCAATATTACCCTATAATAAATACATCTGCTGTCTTTAAATAGCTTAAATGCCCCTGTATTACACAGTAAAAAAAGAGTGTTACTTCAACATCTACAGAGTTAAACATAACTCTGACATCATTCGGTCAGAGTGTCAGATTTTTAGAGTTAATTTTACTCATATTAGTGTTGAAATCAAGAAGACCTCTCAGAGACTGGTGGGTAGTTTACACCCTATAGAGAAAAGTTACACTGCATGGCTGTCAAATTTCACAATGATTATTAATTCCAATATTTGAGCAGATTTATACTCAGTATGGTTGTAAATACTCAATTTAGGGTTAAATAGGTTTACTCTGAATTCTTAAAATCCAATTTTTACTATGTATAAAGTAGTAGACAATTAATTGTTGCCACTTTGTTACCAATTGCCACTGTAAGTAACTATTAACATAAAGGTAATTTAAATTATATTTTTAAAAGTAAACGATAAGTTTACCTTTTTATGAGGACATGCTGATAGAGAAACTGGTTAATTTGCAAAAAGATTATTTTCAAACTTCTGGTTATGACTAAAACATAAATGCAAAGTCATAACACATTGCTCCATGCTATAAAACATAACTTTTTTACTCTATTCTCCCTTCGTTTTTTTTTTTTTTTGTCATTTTGCCCAACATCCTTTGTTCATAAAAAAGTCGACCCTCCTGAACAAAAACTCCTCTCACTTCATTCATTTAGTTATGTGTGTGTCTGTGACAGAAACTAACCCTGCTCAAATTCAGCTGTAGATAGCTGTAAATAATGTTCAAACGATGTAACATTTCTAACATGGAAGAAGGAAAGAAAAATAATGTATTGGTCAGTTAGGGAAAATGGTCGTCAGCTAGCATAAAGTCAAGCTTTCTTTTTAAAGTCCAATTAGACTCAGATTTTATATTTCCACTGGGAAATCAACGACTTAACTGTAAAAGGGGAAATGTACAGGGATCTATAATCTGGTGACGTATTTTAAACGAATCATTATTTTTTATGAAATCATAAATAAAATACTGAGCAACCTTGTGAAATTTAATTGTAGTTTTGATTAAGTTGAATTTTTCAGGAGTTAAAGTAGCCTGGCTCTCAAGGAGATACTCATGTAGGAACAGTTGGTTAGCTACATGTCACTGGGTTCTTTCTGCTACTGAAAGGCTTCATAATGGACAGCCTAAGGGGCTTTGGTCACATGTGATTTGATTAAACTGAAATACGTTACAAATGTTGTGGTTTATTGGGCCTCTCTCCCCCAAGAAAACCCAGTTTATAATCCTGTTCAGCTGAGTTTCAGAGTCGCAGGAGGGATATAAAAATAAAAGCACGCCCACCAACCTCTGCTGACCTCCCAATGATCTCGTGAGATCACCTCAAATTCTCACGGGGCGGTTTTGGGGGGTTGGGGTGCGTGACATTGTGACACACTGACTTTGCCGGTAGTCTGGTAGTTTCCTGTCGCTCTGGCTCTTCATTCCTGCATGGTCCCTATTGGTGTTCCAGCCAGCATGAGAACAAGGACACAAACTGTGAAAAACATCTTTGTAATTTTGGCAAAGCAATTCTTTTTCAACAATTTTGAGTTTGACTTGGGCAATTGGTTTATTTCTTTTTAGCACTTGCTTTTGTATTTTTTTTCATTAAGACAGTTTTATTGTATAGATATTTATTCTAGCAATAGTCTTCCTATTAAGATATACTGTGCTGATGCATCCTCTGAATAATGGAAACTAGCATATATAAATAAATAAATAAATAAATATATATATATATATATATGTAGATGACAATAATCAAATCTGCAAAATGATTTTCATAATAAAATTTGAACTGAGCAGTGTATATTTTGTTGTTATTTCCTTTTTTGCAGTTAAAACCTTTATGTATTTTATTGTTTGTGTTTTTTAATAGACCAACATTTAAAGTAATATAGTTATACTTTTTAACTTATAAATAGGTAAAGCATGTAGCACCCCCATGTACTCAAATTCCCCAAAAATAAAATTGAGTGCAACAAAACTGGCTTCAAATATCAGTAAATAGATCCACGTTGTCTCAGTGTGTAATACAGCTGTAATATAGTGAAAGCACCAGAGGTTTTTCTATTCAACATAAAACAAGATGAGTAATGAACAGCAGACAGATCTGTGATAAATCAGTGGTGAAGTTTAAGGCAGGTTAAAAAGCAATATCCTTACATCTCACAGAGAAATGCTTGGCCATTATGAACTAGTTGAAACAGCATGAGACATCCTGCAACCTACCAGGACAAGGAGGACAAGTAATCAAAGAAACTGACAAGAAGTCTGCATAACTCCAGAGGAAGTTCTGATATCTTCCAATCAGTATATCTGACAGTATGCACTTAATAAATCCAGCTTATGTACTGTAGAAAAGTGCCAAAATGGATTAGTGGAAGAAAATAATATGAAGTTGAATTTCCAGCTTGCTACAAGGCGTGCAAGGGACATATGATATTTTTAAAAGAAAGTGCTTGAATTAGATGGGGTCA